TTATAAGATGTGGAAGGTGTTGAGCGTATGACTCACAGCTGCTGAGAAAGGAACACGTTTTGTTAAAGAAGCACTCCGATCTAATTAAAACGCGGGATGGTATTTTTAAATCAAGAATTCCGGTTGAAGTCAGGATAACAATTAGCATCGCTTCCTTGTGACGGAATACAATGTATTTGCAAATCCCATACCTGACACCTGTGCATGCTATGTGTCTGCGACCACCCGCTATTTCCTGCTGGTTCATGGAAGACAGGAATCTGCACTTGCCTGGGCAGTTCTTGACTGTGTTCACAAATGTCTGACACAGATCAGACCCTGTTGCAGCCTCTCACCTTGCTACAACTTTGTAATGTACACTGTGATCACTGGGGGAGGGGAGACTGAGGAAACGCTTCTTCCTGCCTGAAGCAGACTGATGACAGCATCTCAGCCTAGGCAAAAGGTACTGACTGAAGCTCAAGGATGGTTTTTTAAAGGATCAATCTGAATCACAAAGAAAGGGCCACTATGCAACAATATGGGCAGCACAGTGGCTAAATGGTTAGCACTTCCACCTGGCAGTACTAGGGTCATTGGTTCATATCCCAACCACGGCACCACCTGCTTTGAGTTTGCATGTTCTCCCTGTGCCTGTATGGGTTTCATCCCACACTCCAAAGACATGCTGGTAGGCAGGGGCAGACTAACAACTCATGGGGCCCCTGGGCAATAGGGGATCATGGGGCCCCTGTGTCCTTGCCCAAACTCAAAAAAGCCTATGAAAAAGGTACCAGGGGCATCTCATGGGGCCCCCTACTGACCCTGGGCCCTCAGGCAGTGCCTGAGTTTCCAAATGGTCAGTTTGCCCTGCTGGTAGGTTAATTGGCTCCTGTCTAAATTGTCCCTAGTGTGTGTATGTATGAATGTGAGTTAGGGACCTTCGATTGTACGCCCCTTGAGGGTTAGGGACTGATGTGAATGTACAATATATATGTAAAGTGCTGTGTAAATTGACGGCGCTATATAAGTACCTGAAATAAATAATTATAAATAATAGCTTTTCAGAGGTGTTTGACATGTACATTGAAATTAGATGTTACTGTGGGTAGCTAAGTGGTTAGCACTTCCACCTGTCAGCACTAGGGTCACCAGTTCAAATCCCAACCATGACACTTCCTGCCTGGAGTTTGCATGTTGTGCCTGTGTGGGTTTCCTCTCACATTCCAAAGACATGTTGGTAGGTTAATTGGCTCCTGTATAAATTGGTCCCTAGTATGTGTATGTATGAATGTGAGTTAGGGACCTTAGATTGTACGCCCCTTGAGGGTTAGGGACTGATGTGAATGTACAATATATATGTAAAGTGCTGTGTAAATTGATTGCAATATATAAGTACCTGAAATAAATGTGGTGCCTGTTTTAACCCTTGAAAGGTCACCCCACTGTGCCATAACCATGTGTTTTATGTGCAGTTGCGGTGCGGCACTATTCACTCGAATGGGTTGTTTGGTTGGAGGTGCTGCCTGCAGAATGCATCCTGTGGTATCATTTTCAGTCCTTATGCACACTTGACGTTTTTACAGCGGCTGTTATTGGCTTTTGACGTTTTTTTCCTACAGCTAGTAAACCCCCCAGCATGTTATCCTATCTGTCCATACACACATAGACTGGAATCAACGTTTTTTGGCTGGAAAAAAAAAAACAGGACTAGTGGGATTCTAGAGGAGTTTTTGACCAAAAAGGAGAGCGTTTTTGACCAAAAAAATATTTTTTTTGGTCCAAAAAAACTCTAAAAAATGCAAACGTGGGAAAACGCCACTAATCACGTCAAAAAGGTGCTAAACGCTAATGCAAAAATGCTAAAAAAAAGCTGAAAAACTCACGTTTTTAATGTGACTTTACACATCTAATGTTACCAGCGCATGGGGCCCCTGGGCAATAGGAGATCATGGGGCCCCTGTGTCCACACTCAAACCACACCCAAAAAAGCCTATGAAAGGCACCAGGGGCATCTCACGGGGCCCCCTATTGCCCCCAAGCCCTCGGGCAGAGCCTGAGTTCCCAAATGATCAGTCCGCCCCTGTACCAGTGTTATCACAGCGTCCCGTGTGCCTGAGGACTCACCAGGGGCCGACTGACAACTCATGGGGCCCCCGGGCAATAGGGGATCATGGGGCCCCTGTGTCCTTGCCCAAACTCAAAAAAGCCTATGAAAAAGGTACCAGGGGCATCTCATGAGGCCCCCTACTGACCCCTGGCCCTCGGGCAGTGCCCGTGTTTCCAAATGGTCAGTCCACCCCTGGGGCTCACTATGGTCATGAAGCAAAGCATCACAGCCATGGCAGCCGTATCACCTCCTCTGGCTGCCATGTTAGGTTGAGGGGGTGGTAAAAACACAAATCAACCGCCTGCTAAAAGTTTAAATGAGGCCTTAGGCTCTATTCACATCTTAGCTTTCTGTGGATGTGTGCAAAAGTGTACATTTTTGCGTATGCTCATGAAACACGAGAAATGCATGTTGCGCTTGCGGTACCATTCATTGTTCATGGCACCCTAAACGCAGCATGCAGAAGAGTTTTATGTGTGCGTCAAAACATGTGGGAAACTCAACCCCCAGAAAAGACCCAGGAGCTTCTTTGGTGTGTTTGTCGCAAGTAGAGAAGCCCGGTCACATGAGTGCTATGAGTGCAGCAACAAAATCCCCGTTCACATGACACTTGATGTGAACCTAGCTGTAGCCTCCATTCACAGTGAAGTGTTGCATGAACGTGTGCAAAAGCAAAGCCTGATTTTACGCATGTTCACAGAAGAAATGCGTTTTTGTATGTGCCAAAATGCACAACATGGAGCTCAACGCCCTAAAAGGTACATGAGCTTTTTTGGTGTGTTTGTCACACGTAGGGCAGCATATGTAAATGAATGGCCCTTTGTGTCTAGCGTGAAAAACGCATTCATGCGATTTTCAGATATCAGTTCAGCCTTTAGAGTCATCGGTTTAGTGACTCCTCCCATATCAAACAGCTCAGTGGGAGGTTTCACTCCAACAAACAGAGCCTCAAGGCAAAGCTACTCCCACGATGCCGTCCTTTTTGCTAACCCACACTGCTCTGGGAATCCTTGATTTGTAAAACAATAATTGTATATGTATAGTACAAAAACAGATATAAAGACACAGTTTAAAAACATAAAAAGAATAACAACTAAAATAAATGTCATCCAAACCCTGAAGATTCGGAGGGCCCCAAACCCTGTGATGTACTGCGAGCGGGGATCGGGGATTTGCTTTGCGCGTTTTGCGTTCTGTGGGTTTATTTTTTTCTTTATTTCTTCATGAAGTTTCCCCGGAGATTCCGCCTTTGTCTGGGAACAAAGACTTTCTTCGGCTCGGAGAGGAGTGATTAATAGGGCGATATTCAGGCGAGTGATAGCACATGATACGGCACTGATGATGTAGCGGCAGGCGTCCTTTTTGACGTCGAGTTTGATGTTTGGCGTGTTTTCTTTATTATCTCCTGTGAGTTGAATCTCCTGAGGCCGCCATTGTTGCAGGTTCCCGGTGAGATCTGTGCGGCGTAGAAAGGAAACTCTGTGACGACGCAGGGAAATTCTCTTCAGGGGGTCTCAGCTTTGCTCGGAGATGGATCTAGTTCCCTTTGCAACACAAGTGGCTGAGACACAAATGATGCCTATTAAGGCCCTTTCAGACCTCGGCGCCCTGGTGTACGTGTGCGCTAATGCTCATTTTTCATGCATTAACTTGCAATTCGTTAAGGCAGTCTGTTCAAATGAATGGGCTCCCAGTGCACTACATCATGCAAAAATTGGACATGCACAGGGGCGGACTGACAACTCATGGGGCCCCCGGGCAATAGGGGATCATGGGGCCCCTGTGTCCTCACCCACACCCAAAAAAGCCAATGAAAGGTACCAGGGGCATCTCATGGGGCCTCCTACTGACCCAGGGACCTCGGGCAGTGCCCGAGTGCTGGAATGGTCAGTCCGCCCCTGGACATGCACCATTTTCAACAACACAGTGCGCCGCAGTGCACAGAAGTGCTTTACCATGCGTTGTTGTGCACGGCACTGCACATGCGATGGAACTGCGTGCCATTCAAACTGTGTAATATATGCACTTCAAATGGCACCCCAATGCACTGAAGCAACGCAGCCTTAACACGGATGTGATGCAGCACACCACAACGCATGGTAATACACCGCAATGCATTGTGTTTCCGAAAATGATCCATTCCGGGGTTTTTAGGATGTTTTGGCGCACTGCCAGACTCTTCATTTTAATGGGCTGCCTTAATGCAATGCATGTTATTGCAAGAAAAAAATGCACTAAATCACCCAAAACATGCACCATATTTGGCAATGCAGCGTGCCATAACGCACGGTAGTGCGTTACCATGTGTTGTGGTGTGCTGTGCATATGTATTGGAGCTTCATTGCCTTTTCCCCTCTGGCTCCTCTTCTGAGGAGAGTGTCTCATGATTGTCTATGCTGACCCAGCTCCCCTGTCACTCCCTTAATTTCACTACATAACCTTTTAGGTAGATGGCAGGGGAGAAGTGAATGGGGGATACTATAGAGCCATGTTGCCCAGCCTGCTGCCCTTTGCCACTTTTTTGCAACCCTAGAGGCCCTGCAGACACTAATCTGTATTTCCCTTTTGCCCTGTTTTAGCAGTGATTTCTAGCAGTCTCATGTAATATGTTTCCAGTCTCCAACATTTCCTTAATTATGTCTACAGTCTCTGACCATATCCTGTAGTATGTCTGCAGTCTCTGACCATTTCCTGTAGTGTGTCTGCAGTATCTGACCATCTCCTGTGGTAGGTCTCCCAGTCTCTGACCATCTCCTGTAGTGTGTCTGCAGTCTTTGACCGTCTCCTGTTGTATGTCTCCCATCTCTGACCATATCCTGTTTTATATGTGTGCAGTCTCTGACCATCTCCTGTAGTATGTCTGCAGTCTCTGACCATCTCCTGTTGTAGTAACTCTGCATGTGTCTCTGACCATCTCCCTGTGCAGTAACATCTGCAGTCTCTGAGTCTCTGACCATCTCCTGTAGTATGTCTGCAGTCTCTGACCATCACCTGTAGTATGTCTGCAGTCTCTGACCATCTCCTGTAGTATGTCTGCAGTCTCTGACCATCTCCTGTAGTATGTCTGCAGTCTCTGACCATCTCCTGTCAGGGGCGGACTGACCATTTGGAAACTCGGGCACTGCCCGAGGGCTCGGGGCCAGTAGGGGGCCCCATGAGATGTTCCTGGTACCTTTTTCATAGGCTTTTTGAGTTTGGGCAAAGACACGGGGGCGCCATGATCCCCTATTGCCCTGGGGGCCCCATGAGTTGTCAGTCTGCCCCTGTCTCCTGCAGTATGTTTGCAGTCTCTGACCGTTTCCTGTAGTATGTCTGCAGTCTCTGACCGTTTCCTGTAGTATGTCTGCCATCTCTGACCATCTCCTGTAGTATGTCTGCAGTCTTTGACCATCTCCTGTTGTATGTCTCCCATCTCTGACCATCTCCTGTAGTAGGTCTGCAGTCTCTGTCTGTCTCCTGCAGTGTGTCTGCTGTCTCACCATCTCCTGTAGTATGTTTGCCATCTCTGACCATATCCTGTAGTATGTCTGCAGTCTCTGACCATCTCCTGCAGTATGTTTTCAGTTTCTTATTGCCTCCTGTAGTATATCTGCCGTCTCTGACCATCACCTGTAGTATGTCTGCAGTCTCTCTGACCATCACCTGTAGTATGTCTGCAGTCTCTGACCATCTCCTCTAGTATGTCTGCAGTCCCTGACCATCTCCTGTAGTATGTCTGCAGTCTCTGGCCATCTTTTGAAGCATGTCTGCAGTCTCTGACCGTCTCCTGTAGTATGTCTGCAGTCTCTGACCGTCTCCTGTAGTATGTCTGTCTCTGCAGTCTCTACAGTCTGACAATCTCCTCAAGTATGTCTGCAGTCTCTGACTGCCTCCTATATTATGTCTGCTGTCCTGACCATCTCCTGTAGTATGTCTTCAGTCTCTCTGACCATCTCCTGCCCATAGTCTTTGACTATATCCTGTTGTATGTCTGCAGTCTCTGATGCTGAATATTCAGTGAATTTTATGTGTGGCCCTGTGATGATGTCAGGGGCCACCCTTGAGGTCCGCCCATGTCAAGAAATTTGATCACCAGTGCTAGGGAGAATCACCTGACTGACAGCTCTAAATCTTCTGACATCACATCCAAGATGGTGGCACCCAGCAGCAGTCTCGAGGGTTTTGGAAGAGAGGCTTTTATATAATCAAATAAAAAATATGTTTTTTATAAATATATATAAATGATTTAATGACTGATCAGTGGATATGCAGCAACTGTCGGCACCCAGCTTCTGCTGCGCTCATCACGGTCTGTTAACCAGCGATGGCGCCAGAGCTGCTGAGGTTGGGTGACAAGTTTGACGGTTAAATTAGAACAAGGCCTTTGCGATTCAACAGCTTGTGCAAACAGCCGCAAGCGCAAACTCTCAAAGCTACTTAGACGCGACTTTGACATAACGCATCCCCAGGCTGAGCTGATGCCACATCTGCTACTTTGGCACCTGAGACCACGTACCTGTCATAGAGAGAATCTACCATAGAAACTCTCATTGTTTCCTGGCTCAGTGCAAGAGCTCTGATCTGTGGTGTAGGAGTGGGGATCCCCCTTATCAAAGCACCAGTAAAGGGGGGGGGGGGGGCTGAGCCAGCAGTGGGTCACTTTAATAGAGAAAGTTGGGGAGCTCATTATTTAATCTTTCTTTATTTTTTATGTAACTTTTACAGTTTGCTGTCCCATATTTCCACAGTTGTATTGTATTACATATGTATAGAATAATCCTCTGACCACCTGTCTTGCAATTCACCTTCTTTGCTGAACAACTTTAAACATATAATCTTTGCCGTGCAGGTAGCCCACTGTCCCTGGTCAGTCATACTGGGCTGGTAGACTGGCATGGTGAACTAGGAGCAGTAATGTACGGTCATTGTGCAGCACTACTAAGCAGGCAGTACAGCCTACCTAAAGGACAAGTGTGGCTGCCACCTGACATTGTAATTACAAAGTACTGGACAGTATGTATAGAGGAGGACAATGATATACAGCAGGAGTTCCATTAGAGGAAGAGAGCCAGCTAAAGGGTGTGCAGAGTGCAATTCCATGTGACAAATTATCTACCTACCTATCTATCTATCTATCTATCTATCTATCTATCTATCTATCTATTTATCTATCTATCCAGTACCTGTCTATTCAATACCTATCTTTAATCTATTTTCTATACATAATAACATATAATATGTAATCAATGCTACATTATTATTATCTATCTATGATCAATTCTATCTATCTATCTACAGTCAGGTCCATAAATATTGGGACACCGACACAATTCTAACATTTTTGGCTCTATACACCACCACAATGGATTTGAAATGAAACGAACAAGATGTGCTTTAACTGCAGACTGTCAGCTTTAATTTGAGGGTATTTACATCCAAATCAGGTGAACGGTATAGGAATTACAACAGTTTGCATATGTGCCTTCCACTTGTTAAGGGACCAAAAGTAATGGGACAGAATAATAATCATAAATCAAACTTTCACTTTTTAATACTTGGTTGCAAATCCTTTGCAGTCAATTACAGCCTGAAGTCTGGAACGCATAGACATCACCAGACGCTGGGTTTCATCCCTGGTGATGCTCTGCCAGGCCTCTACTGCAACTGTCTTCAGTTACCTGCTTGTTCTTGGGCATTTTCCCTTCAGTTTTGTCTTCAGCAAGTGAAATGCATGCTCAATCGGATTTAGGTCAGGTGATTGACTTGGCCATTGCATAACATTCCACTTCTTTCCCTTAAAAAACTGTTTGGTTGCTTTTGCAGTATGCTTTGGGTCATTGTCCATCTGCACTGTGAAGCGTCCAATGAGTTGTGAAGCATTTGGCTGAATATGAGCAGATAATGTTGCCCGAAACACTTCAGAATTCATCCTGTTGCTTTTGTCAGCAGTCACATCATCAATAAATACAAGAGAAGCAGTTCCATTGGCAGCCATACATGCCCACGCCGTGACACTACCACCACCATGCTTCACTGATGAGGTGGTATGCTTAGGATCATGAGCAGTTCCTTTCCTTCTCCATACTCTTCTCTTCCCATCACTCTGGTACAAGTTGATCTCGGTCTCATCTGTCCATAGGATGTTGTTCCAGAACTGTGAAGGCTTTTTTACATGTCGTTTGGCAAACTCTAATCTGGCCTTCCTGTTTTTGAGGCTCACCAATGGTTTCCATCTTGTGGTGAACCCTCTGTATTCACTCTGGTGTAGTCTTCTCTTGATTGTTGACTTTGACACACATACACCTACCTCCTGGAGAGTGTTCTTGATCTGGCCAACTGTTGTGAAGGGTGTTTTCTTCACCAGGGAAAGAGTTCTTCGGTCATCCACCACAGTTGTTTTCTGTGGTCTTCCGGGTCTTTTGGTGTTGCTGAGCTCACAGTGCGTTCCTTCTTTTTAGGAATGTTCCAAACAGTTGTTTTGGCCACACTTAATGTTTTTGCTATCTCTCTGGTGGGTTTGTTTTGTTTTTTCAGCCTAATGATGGCTTGCTTCACTGATAGTGACAACTCTTTGGATCTCATCTTGAGAGTTGACAGCAACAGATTCCAAATGCAAATAGCACACTTGAAATGAACTCTGGACCTTTTATTTGCTCATTGTAATTGGGATAATGAGGGAATAACACACACCTGGCCATGGAACAGCTGAGAAGCCAATTGTCCCATTACTTTTGGTCCCTTAACAAGTGGGAGGCACATATGCAAACTGTTGTAATTCCTACACCGTTCACCTGATTGGGATGTAAATACCCTCAAATTAAAGCTGACAGTCTGCAGTTAAATCACATCTTGTTTGTTTCATTTCAAATCCATTGTGGTGGTGTATAGAGCCAAAAATGTTAGAATTGTGTCGATGTCCCAATATTTATGGACCTGACTGTATCTATCTATCTATTCGATATATATGTATGTATCTCCTATCTTTCTTTCTATCTGTCTATCTATCTATCTATCTATCTATCTATCTATCTATCTATCTATCTATCTATCTATCCAGTACCTGTCTATTCAATACCTATCTTTAATCTATTTTCTATACATAATAACATATAATATGTAATAAATGCTACATTATTATCTATCTATGATCAATTAATTCTATCTATCTGTCTATCTATCTATCTATCTATCTATCTATCTATCTATCTATCTTTCTATTTCGTACCTATTCACTTTCTATCTATCATTGGTCTATCTATCTATCTATCTATCTATCTATCTATCTATCTATCTATCTATCTATCTATCTATCCAGTACCTGTCTATTCATTACCTACTTTTAATCTATTTTCTATACATAATAACATATAATATGTAATAAATGCTACATTATTATCTACAGTTGTGTCCAAAATTATTCAACCCCCAATGCTGTAAAGGGGTTTAGGGACTATAGTGTACATTTGGAATTGTATTCAGAATCAAATCCTACAAGGACGTTGTAACTACCCAAATGCAACTAAAATGACATCAATTGTTTATGTAATACAGTAGTAAATGGTTCTTATGTGGTTTCTTCATTGCCACAATTATTCAACCCCTTAAAGACTACCACTCTGAAGAACAGAGGTTCATACAGGTGCTTTCCATCAGGTATTGAAAACACCTGTGGATGTCACCGAGCAGCAATCAAGCATAATAAGCACCAATTAGGCAGCTTTAAAATGACTGTGATACTCAGCTCCTTCTAGACATTTACTGGTGTGGTTACAAACATGGTGAAGGCAAGAGAATGGTCCAGGAAGACAAGAGAAGAGGTGATTTCTCTTCACAGGAAGGGCAATGGCTATAAGAAGATTGCAAAGATGTTAAACATACCAAGAGACACCTTAGGAAGCATCATTCGCAAATTCAAGGCAAAGGGCACTGTTGAAACGCTACCTGGTCGTGGCAGAAAGAAGATGCTGACTTCGACTGCTGTGCGCTACCTGAAGCGTAGAGTGGAGAGAAGTCCCCGTGTGACTGCTGAGGAACTGAGAAAAGATTTGTCAGATGTGGGTACAGAAGTTTCAGCCCAGACAATAAGACGCACACTGCGTAATGAAGGCCTCCGTGCCAGAACTCCCAGGCGTACCCCCTTGCTGTCTCCAAAGAATAAGAAGAGTCGACTGCAGTATGCCAAAAGCCATGTGGACAAACCACAAAAGTTGTGGGATAGTGTTCTGTGGACTGATGAAACAAAATTAGAACTGTTTGGGCCCATGGATCAACGCTATGTTTGGAGGAGGAAGAACAAGGCCTATGATGAAAAAGAACACCTTGCCTACTGTGAAGCATGGTGGAGGGTCAATCATGCTTTGGGGCTGTTTTGCTTCTGCAGGTACAGGGAAGCTTCAGCGTGTGCAAGGTACCATGAATTCTCTTCAGTACCAGGAGATATTGGATGGAAACGTGATGCAGTCCGTCACACACCTGAGGCTTGGGAGACGTTGGACCTTTCAACAGGACAATGATCCCAAGCATACCTCCAAGTCCACTAGAGCATGGTTGCAGAGGAAAGGCTGGAACATTTTGGAGTGGCCATCGCAGTCACCAGACTTAAATCCGATTGAGAACCTCTGGTGGGACTTAAAGAAAGCAGTTGCAGTGCGCAAGCCTAAGAATGTGACTGAACTGGAGGCCTTTGCCCATGAAGAATGGGCGAAGATACCCGTAGATCGCTGCAAGACACTTGTGTCAAGCTATGCTTCACGTTTAAAAGCTGTTATGTAAAAGGATGCTGTACTAAGTACTAAGATTGAATGTCACTTG